GAATGGAGAGAGACATACGAGAAGGTCGAGCATCAAATTATGAATTTTTAAATGCGAGTAATTAAAATGCAACATTCCAAATCAATATTGAATCAACTTTACAACTTGGGAGACACAGTCGCATTGAAAAAAAAAGTTATGACTTTTTTCTAGACTCCATGTAGCAATGTCGGTACTAACATCGCGCTTCATTACGATACGCCTCTTATTTAGTTGCGGGTCTGTGTATTCTCTTTCAAACATTTCTCTCACGTTCAGATGTGCATCAGGATAAAATTCAAGTGAGAGAGAAATGGCATGTATTTAGTTTCATTAGATTTGAATGCGCTAGAAAGAATGCGGCTCCATTTTTCTATCAAGCATTTGCCGTTGGAAATCTGATTCGAAGAAGCCACCGATCAAAATGAAACTAAATTGTTTGGTTTGATGATTACGTAACATCGGATAATTGTGTATATTTCGCAAACTATTCATGTTGCATTTTTAACAGGAACATGACACGTATTTCATTTTCATGTTATAACAAAATTTGATTCTGCTTCGACTTGCGATGCATTTGTTAAACAGAAATAGTGAATGGTGTGAAATGTTTACGATAAAATCATTGTCAAAAACATAACCAGCAAACCGACCTATGATATCAACATACCTTGATCATCGTTCCTTTTTTAATTGAAGAGTACATTCGTCAACGATAAAATGGATTGGGCGCACGAAATACTGTATCAAAATCTGAGAAAAAAAAATTAAACTTTTGTTTCGATTTTCGGCTGTGTTAAACTGTCTACATGGGAAGTTTGCATAAAAACCACGAAGCGCGACTGAAATTGCATCGGTTTATATGTTAAAATGAACACATGGCCGAAACTCGGCAAGAAATTCTTCATTAAAAACGTCGAATTGAAGTTGCTGACAAATTACAGTTCAGTGTGATTAGCACTATAGTGCAAAAAATCTAATTTGATTTCATTTCATTAAACACTTGAATGTATGTGTAATTCAAACTTTGACAGGCGAATTTTTGGAACAAATCGTTTTTTTTTCACAGCCACAAAAAGGCAAATGACAACAAAGTTTTGGTAGCATGACTAAAAAAATGAGCTCCATTTTCTAATACCTTGTGCAAATATTTGCTCAAAAAAAACAAACAATTCCACGAAAGAAGATCAGTTCGAAACCATTTGGTTGGATAGAGATTTTCGCGTATCATTTGGCTCAAGATTATCATATTTGATTTTAAAAAAAAAATCCCAGAAAAAAGCGGTTCCAGCTTGGTCGCATACTTTTGTTAAAATAGTTGAAATGTTGTCGTTGGTAATCCTCAAAAATCCTCGATGCGTGTGCGCGTTTAATAAAATCCTAATGTATTCCGGAAATGAATATGACTCTGGAACGATAATGCGACCCAGTTGGTGCGGTGCAATTTGTGTATAATGGCTGTGTGTGTCTCCCGCACACACGAACACACACAGGCCCATGGAAATAATCAATAGAATGTTGCAAAGTTGATCTGAAGTTGGTTGAAAAAAGGGTTAGTTGGCTGGTACCAACCGTGTACGACAGCAGGGATTTTGATGACTCGAAAAATATTGAGCAAAAGGCGTCCTGCATCCGACAATGCAACGCAATGGAAAACTCAAATTAATGAAGCAACATTGAAATAGACAAAGTAATCAAATGTTGCAACAGTTTTGGGGATGAGAAGCGGCGTATATCCATATATGCGTATTACACTTAGCCACCACATTCCAGAAGAATAACCGAATGTGATTCGGAATGGTTTGCAGTGTGTCATGCAAAATGACATTCATCGAGGTTTCAATAATGAATATCTTTTAGCACACATGGGTGTTATTTGAATTTACTAGCATGTTTGACGTCATATCTTGCTATCATCATTATACTCGTATAAAACATGGAAATGCTTTTATTAAGCGAACTCTTCTACACACACCCACATGCATAATCACACCCTCACACAAACATACAAGCACATACAACACACACGGAGAGATTTGCACACTCACACTCCCCGAAATATAGTTGAGCTCTATCTCTTCGCTGCCAAATTTGAAATATGCTCCCCGGCAACGAGGCATGACAACACGTTAGACATTGAATATTTAAAGTAAAACCCCAGAAGATAAAGTGGCAACCGAAAAACATTTTATAGTTAAATTGTGAGAACAGATTAAATGTCTGCTGTGTTGCCTCTGCTGCTGCTGCTGCTGCTCTCGATGTGAACGAGCAGCACTAAATCAATTCCAAAAGCTAAAAGACGCGATTCTCATGGATGTATACTTAATGTTTGTATGCCTGCGAACACTATTACCATCACCAAGGATTCGTTTAGCGGCAAACTCAACCATTCACGTAATCAGTTTAAATAAGGCATGCAATTTTGCCATTTTGCCGGGCGCTCCGGCATCCCTTTCCCACCTCTTTTGCTCTCAGCTCTCACTCGCTTCGCAACTTATGTGCACTTAATCCTCTTCGCCGTAGACTTTCCACAACACTATTTCATTATCATGCGTAGCATTTGTTCTTGTTAAATGCAAATGCAGTTTCTTGTGTGCAGTGCTTTAACAACGTTGCTTGTGCATTTCAAAAGGGAAATTGGGTTTTTCATCCAAAATTCCTTCCATTTAATTAAGCTTTCGATTTTAAAATTTTAATTGTTGGCCCGCTTTTACCCGTGAATTATTCGCGTTATATGCGTTTGATGCGCAATCCCGCAATAGGCATACAATCTCACAAGTACTTAGCCCTTTGATTGTCAGTCTCATGCCTCTAATTAGGCAACATCTCTCTCTATCTCTCATTTTCTATAGAATATCAAATTAACGTTCACGCTCTTTTCTCTTTCTCTCTGCACCGAAACATTTTCTGAAAAGACATGAACGAAAATGGCATCACCTAGTTACGGACGAGCAAATCAAACATTCGACGAATAATACTCGCATTGAAGTTTATGGAGCGCAAATTACAACTCAAGCATCAACATGCGATTTTGCTTTTTTGGCGGCGTCTAAACCATAGCAGGAAAAAAATATACACTGTATTTCATGCGAAAATCTGATTTGCACATTTATGAAAGACGCTTCACGAGAGCGAGAGAGATGATGTATAGAAAAGTATGGCTCACATACGATTTGTATTTGTGTGTCGGCGAATATTTAACAGATGCATGCAAATGAAGAAATTGCCGTACACACAAAAAAAAATTCCCATTGAAACTGGAATGAACCAAAAATTACACAACATTTACTACACGATCCTTTTTTTTTAATTTTTAGATGAACCCACTGTTAATTTGAATTGACCGGTCATTCCACTTGAACTTTTTTTTTCACGCATACCAAGTTGGTATTACCAACCACTCAATGCAAACACTCTGTTTTTCGAAGGGTTAGCTTCATTCACTTTTTTCGAGAGTGGTTTTTTCTCTGAACTGAAATTCAGAGTTATTAAATGCTTTTTTCCGCATTTTATCTGCCATTAAATTCGATTTGGTTTCGCCTCGAACAATTGATATAAAAATGATGAAATGATAAATTTTTCATTAATAACCTGAATTGAGGTGGTCTCTGGCAATGGCCACAAATGAACTTTCAAAGTAACAACGTCACACATACACTGCATACAAAAGTAGAGTGAACGTCACACATACACAAGTAGAGTGAACATGAATTACATTCCAACTGAAATGGATGAGTTCATAAGATCCGATGCGAATGATTCATTTATTTTTATTTTGGTTTGATTACAGTGATATTCAACATGGGCAAATGGATCGGGAAAGGGAGTGAGAGTGAGAGTGAGTGAGTAAGTGAGTGAGTAAAAGGACCAATTTGAGGTTGAATATCGAATCGCATGATATACCAGTCGTGTGTGTGCGTGTGTGTGTGTGTCTTTGAGTATTCCTTCGTATTTTTATTTATCGCAGTCATTTCCTACACTTCGCTTTTTTTGCACGCTTTTCGTTTCATTTTTATTCATAATCATTTTTTATGCATCCGTTTCGATGTAAGAGCGAAAAGCGGGTCAGTTCCCCATCTCCTCACCCATATTATAGTGTCAAGTTTAAGAAGAAGTGTAATAGCGTCTGATGGCATTTGAAATATGTTTAGGTTTCATGGTGTCGCATGTGTGAATGCCATGTCATCGTCAAACAAAAATTTATACATTACTCAATGTACTTTCGACGCAACACAACTCGGTGAGCGAAAATAAAAGACGCTAGAAAGAAAAAAAAAATCATCATCGTCGGCAGGACAAAATAAGAAAGAACTAAAAGCAGAACGCATCCGAACAAAGTTCCGTCGACGGTTAGTTTTGTCTGTTTTCATGTCCGTTTCAATCAATTATATCGTCCGGTTCAATCATTTATCATTTTCATAATACGTATTTTCTTATTATGTTCGCTTCGATGGCACGATGTTTGAATCCTTTTATGGGCTTGCAAAGTCTTAATACGAAAATGAAAAATCCCTTGGTCACACCACCACTATCCGAGAACCGGACGGTTTTCACAACACCATGACTTTCGAAAACAAATCGTTTATTTCCTGTGCTAGCAGCTCGTTTACTTACTCGACCGACCGCCGTACATACTCGTACGCTACATATTTGGATAATATTGAAAATATGCTTTGATTTGTGATTATTTCATAAATATTTGCCCGTTCCAAACAAAAAAACACACACACACACACCGTGAAATCAATAAAAATGATGTTGAAGCGAACAACTTTATAATTGGAATTTTACGTTGTGTCTAGGAAATGAAATTATGCCGTAGTACAACATACAACGACGAAAAATTGGCTCTTTTCTTCGGGCCGATTTGTATGAACACTAGAATCGCACTCCGAAAAAGCCGTTAAACGTCGACGTTTTGAATCGAAGCGCTTGCGCCATGTTCAAATCATTTTCCCCTCAATCGAAGCAATGTGCATTCCGTTGAACTTTTGCTTTGGTTACACTGTCGCGATTGAGTCAGTTTTTCTTCGACTGTTGTGCCAACCGGACGCACTTTGGCTGGCAATCCGATATCACATTTCGCGATTTTTCTACAATGACTGTATAAAAAAAAAAGTTTTTTTTTAATCTTTTGATCCAGTGAATCGACTTTGATCTCAATTTGACAACAAACAAAGACGGAATCCAAATTGTTTGTACCAACAGTTCTTGGGAATCACAAACGATTTAGAAAAAAAAAATTATTTGTGAAACGACAAAAAATGAATTTAAATTGAAGCACAGGGAAAAGACCCGAATGAAAACGACTTTGATCAGTGAAAAGAGCGACCGAGAAAAGGGAAATTGGGTAAACTGTTCAAGTGCCTGAATTCATTCAAGTGATTCAGTGTCAAATGCAAGAACAAGCGAATAATGCAAATGGCCAAATGCGTGCAAATATTATTTTTGGCATTTACAATTTTAATATTGCCGTGCTTAAGTTCAAACACAAACACAATCAATATTCATTCAGAAAGATAATGAAATAATTGTATTTGGCTTCGAAAACTGATATGAAGCAAGTGAGTGTATTGTGCTAGCCAGGGCAAGCAACAAACAAACAAACACACAACATCGAATCGAATTAATAGTAAAATAGCATCAGAAGCCGTAGCAGTGTGCTTGCATCCAAATGGAATAAAGTGTTGCTCGTCGGCCAAACGAAACTGGATTAGGTGAACTAAATACCGTTATTTTGCGGGAATAGAAAGTTAGTATTTTATTTGCATGTATTTTCTTGAAACAATTTTCATGTATACGACGACGACGACGACCAAAAAATAACGAGTTCAGTTCATTGATCATCAATAATTGCAATAAATGAGAGTGCTGTGGCGTTTCCGGTTATGAAAGTCGATATTTAGCCACGAAACAAAAAACAATTATCGTCAAAGGAATAATTTTGAAAACAAAAACTTATTCAAACAGCGTATTTCTACTGTTTTTTTTTGGCAAAAAATTACAAAAGGAAAACACGCATTATAACTCATACATAATAATAAATTTGCCTTTTACTCGCTATTACATTCAATTCGTTCGTTGGTTGGTTGCTTGCTTGCTTGCTTGGTTCGTGGCACCGTGCTACGCGCCACTACCATTCAATGCTAATCTCGTCGACTGAATCGAAATCTCACTGTCACGCATTATTTCGCTGCCTAAGTTTTTCTGCTGTTGTTTTGTGTATATGCGTGTGTTTGGCAAAAGTTTGGTATCAATTGGCAATTCTGAACTGAAAACCTATTGAACCGACCTCGATGACGATTCGGCTGTGTTGCGGCAACGACGACGACGATGTCGACGACAAAAGATGAGAGAAGTGTGGGCAATGTGAGCACAGGAGGAGGCATTTCATTAAATCAGTTTGTTTTTGTTTGTCGTACCCGTTGAATAGGAAACATATCAAAGGCAACAAAATGAAATTTGAACGCTTTGAACGCTTTGAACCCCGAACACTGGTGAAAGTCAAACCATTTATTGAGTGCTGCTAACGACAGCCGCTCAATTCTTTTACCCGTTCTGTAGTAGTTAGGCAGGCTCTCCCAGTCTCTCTGCAACTCAAAACGAATCGAATCGAATCGAAAACAAACATCATTACACGCAGCGAAACAATGGCACGCGTGCCGAATGCCAAAGTTGTCTCTCAACAAGGTGTGTATTTCGTCTCATTTATGTTTCATTTGCGACATGCTGAAAATTCCAAATAGCATCATTGAATGATGATTTTCGTCGCTCGCACTCTCGATTTGAATCTCGGCTGAAGCGATGGTTTTTTTTTCTGGCGCTTTCTGGAAACATGTAGTACGTAGCAGGCGGAAGCGAGGTAGAAAGGGAGGTACAGAGAAAGAAAGAGAGCGAGTAGTGTGTGCGAATAAAGTAGTGATATTGCGACCTGGTAATAGTGTGAGAATGGCATCGAGAGAAAAATGAAAAATCGCAGAAATCACAATCAAACGCACAGAATGCAAATGACGCTTCAATGCTCGATAAATTGAACAGATCATACCAATGCATTATCACTTGTATCCATGGCCGATCGCTTTTTAGTATTCACACACCGAATATATGGTGGAGCTAGTTTACGAAAACGCACCGAACCAAACTGAACTGAATAAACTAATTACTATTTATAAACCCCCTGCTGATTGTACGAACCAATGGATTGCAATTGCATTTGGATGGTGTACATAAATTCCGTTTGCTCAGAGCAGCAAAACCACTCAGTCGAAATGACAGAAACTGTCATTTCTGCTTTTGGGCCAACACATTGCATCTGTCATTGAATAAGTCCTTACGATTTTCTGGTCCTAATAAATGGCTTCAGTATGGCATTAGTGTCCATGTTAATCAAAGAGAAGTATATACAACGGACAAATCCGAAATTGAAAAGTGAAACACAGTCTAAAGTTTATTCAATAGGACATTTAATTAACTATGCAGGAAATGAAAATTTTCCGTTCTCTTCGGTCCAGTTTCATTCCTTTTTCTCTTCAATAAGTTATTTTTGCTTGACTCAAAGTTCGAATCAAAAAGTAGTCCCCCATTTAAAATGATTATTCGATAATAACCAGGTACCATTATTATGAATAGTATCGAGCTACTGATTGTTTTAAGGTACATGTTTGCATTGAAATCACTTACTCTTTGTCTATGCTGGGGAAAAAAAATCTCAATCCAAGGTACCGAATACAAAACCGGATATTAAGACCCGAACATTCTTGCAAATCTGAATTGTTCCAGACTATTATAATAATCGCTTTATTATTTCGAATGTTGAATATGGCCAAAGCGTTTAGTTCCCCATCTTTTTTTTTATATAGAGGCAACCTTGTTGATTATGCCAGGGTTTCACCACTAGTTTGCTCTTTTTCTCGCTTTGTTTCGCTTTTTTGCGCTCCATTGAATAAAATGTTATGATGAATATGTATATTTTTTGTCTGCTTCGCCTTTGCCCGAAAGCATCACATTGCTTCAATATTTCAAGCATGAATTTCCGAGTGAAAGCCAGAGCCGAGCAAAAGAGAGATACGGTTGAACAGTAAAAATAGCAATCAGGTATAATAAAAGGACATATTTGATAATATTTTTGTTATGAATGTTGTGTTGTACTGAAGCGCACTGGATCCAATTTACGCTACTTCATTATGTGAAAAAGAGGGAAAAAAAACAACGAACAACAGCATTGATGCCAAAGGAGAGAAGAAAAAAATGCTACCCTTTTTTCATTTCGATTTTGTTTTTATTTTCGTTTGTTGAAAGAGAGAAAAAGATACTATTTTTTTCCATCATTCGTTATTCGATTTGGGTATTTCTTTGTCTCTCTTTGCCGAAGTGCAAAGCAGATACATCGATTTTTGAAATATTTCTGTATTACCTTCCATTTGTCTTTTTTTATGTGCATCTCTTCAGTACACAAATACATTTCGACAGCCTCATTGCAAAAGTGAGATATCAGTTTGTAATTTTGAAAATGTCCCAAAAAATATCTTTCAAGATTGAAATTGGTTTACGATGGAATAAAATGGAGTAGACTTTGGCGTAAAAACCCTAGATAGAAAAACCTGGTTCAAAAGTAATTTCATTGGTATAGAGAGTCAAAACACAGTCATTTAGCACTTTGCTTTGATATGTAAATAACTAGATGTCAGTCGGTTTGATCGCAGTGTTTTGAATGACCGTGTCGACGCTTTCGATGGTGTGACTCTGCCGCAATATTTTCCGAGTGCTCGTATCAAAACTGAATAATTTAAGTATCGTAAACGTTATTTCGCTCTCTTTATCTCTCACAATCTACGTTTTGCCCATTTACCATCATAAAACATTGTACCTTTTATGATTTTTAGCGTTATCGGTGATATATTTCAATAGCTCTAAAAAGGAAATTCTTTCCATTTTTGCTCCCATCAAATTCGATGCGCCGTTTTTCAATTCGAAGAAGCAACAGAAGCACCAGCACCACCATAACAATATATTTCCATTTTATTTTGTCAATGTTTTCTTTTTTCCCTTCTATTTCGCTTTTGCATATTTATTCAACATTTACCGAGAAATATGCATAACAAAAGAATAAAATTGTTTCGTGAATCGCTCTAAAAAACAGATGTCAACATTTTTTCCATGCTTGATATGATGCTGATGTTTTTATTGTGAGCGAGTGTGTGTGTGTATCAATTTGGCTATTCTTCACAATTGTTTTTCGGTTCGTTTTTTGTGTCTCTCCTCTTTTTGTGTCGTTGGTCGTGAATCATGCATTGCAAAATAAAAGCTTGCTCTCTGTTTATTATGAACGTCAATAGCAGCAATTCGGTCTCTTCTAACGGCCTCATAAAAGGTTACCTTACATTTCAAACCGAAATTGTGTACAGCAATCGTCAAGTGAAACAAACACACACTTAATAAATTTCAATTGAAGCGACAGTTAGCTGATGTTGAGAGCGGCGCATTTCCTCCTGCCGAGCCCCAAACATACATATACACTCAGAGCGCGAATGTGAAAAGAGTATAAGAGAGAAAATGAAAAACGGTCCGACTGCTCATATTTCATTCATTTAATGAAAATAAATCTGAACAGTTTGTACATTTCTTTTTATATGCGCTTATGCTTTCGATAATATTGATTTCATCGTCGTTCTTTTTCTCTGTGCTGGCAACAAACAAACGACTTTTCGCTCGCGCTCTCACACACACATACGTTGCGCTCACCAAATGACCATAAATAAATGGATTCCATGCACGTTCATGGGTTTGTAATGATTTTAAAGAGAAATATTAAACGGTGGCCAGCCAAAGTCAGCTATCCATACGCTTCAACACACACACATACACACACACCATACCATCCCATCCCACAAGCACTATAAATAGCATCACATTTTAATCACATAGTAGTTTATTTTCAGCTCTTATCCGTGGCCGTGTTAAACTTAATGGATGTGCGGATCGAGTGTTAAATTTAACGTTTTAATATAGATTGGCTGTTCTGGTTAGTAGACAGACTTAAAACGCCAGCCTCACTGTTTAAAACACCATAATCCGGTTGCTTTATTAATTTTCCTAACGGTATAACACACCATTTTTGAAGCGGCTTACATGTTCATTGTTTGCGGTTCTTTTGTGGGTGTGTTTTAAAAACAACATTTGGTCCGTTCATTCTTAAAAACGGTCTTAAAATGGCCTTAAAATAGCTTACATTGTCTCATGGAATTATCAGACCGAGCGGATACAAAAGCATAATTACTATGATCACCGAAGAAGCCGTTTTTACTTGAGCCATTTGGGTAGAAAGTGAAGCGTAAAATTCCAAGAATATCGACGACATCTTGCATTTCTAATTTTTCAGCCCGCTCATATCGTGCGTAAAAGTGTTTTTCCAAATGGAAACAGGAAAAGTTTTAAAAGTTGTGTCACCGGATGGAAAACTTAATTTTTCTCCATAATTTGAATATACGTTTTTGCTACAAATTCGTAGAGAAAAGACGCTCGTCTGGCAGATGCATGTATTTCATATATTTAATACGCTACTGCACATACAGTCTGTTTCAGTTCTACCCACTAATTTTCACCTGTGTTAATTCGATAATCAAACAAGTACTAATCCATTCACCCGACTTCGAGTTCTGATTCACATCTTACGCTGCACCAAAAAAGACACCAATTAGTGCACAAGTTTCAACTGTAAATTCCCATGCCACTCGTTTTTTTTCCTTTCACCATCCACAAAATGAACAATTTAATCCACCTCGAAAATTACATTTCGCTATGTCACGTAAGTTTTATTTATCAACTTCATTCAATTAGTTCGATGACTACAATCTGCCAGATGTCATGATAAAATGTATTATCTCCAACTTCATGCACTCATTCGCTTCATTCACAAGTAAACGTGTCAATTTTTGAGTTGTTGTGGTCGGTCAATAATAGCGATAATAATCGGTTTCGAGATAACGATTTCATTTACGTCAGATTACAGTCTTGACGGTCGACAAGGCTTGAGACACTTAATATTTAAGTTTAAGATTTTCAATGCCTTGAACCACTTAGCGATCTTTAAACATGAAAAGCGTCCATGTCAAACATCCAATTGTCTATATCTAAAATAGAAAAGCGCTCATTGAAAATTGAACATTGGACTGATTGCTCAGTGACTCGACACTATTCATTTAATGCGTATCATATTTCAAAATTTGCAATCCAATTCCCTTGATTCAAAGGAAAGTGATTTCACATCCGGAAAATTGACTCTCTCTCACTAACTTCGTTACGATAAGTTGTTACGTTTACTTGTCAAAGGTGCTATGCTGAGTGCACTCCATTCGTGTGCTTCCAAAATGGGCAAAACTTGTAGCGAACAGAACGTTTAATTAATAAAATTAAATATTTAGAATGAATCTTCAGCGAAATAGGAATGGACGAAAATGGGAGTGAATATTCCAAAGAGTTGATGCCCTATCAGCAGATTGCCAGGTTAAATTCGATTGAATGCTGCACTTCAAACACATTTCTCGGAGCACGATTGAAAATAGGCGAAGCTATAAAATGGTTATCGTGAAATAATAGGCAGCCATTAGATGCCATCGAAACTAGGCATTCAGCTTATCGATTCGATTGAAATTCCGTTTTGATGTCGGATTTTAATCGCTCAAATGGTTTTAGCTAAATCTCAGGGATACACAAAACGTTTATCATTGAAAGAAAAATTATCCCAAAAAACCGCCCACCTCTACCGCTGAAGCGGAAAAATGCAGCCGATTGTTGGATTCGTTTGAAGAGCACTGTGAAACGAGATACAGCATACGTGTGTACGAGATGTGAATGCTGAATGAAATCTCTGTGAACTGTGGGACTGCAATTTATTTTCTTTCGCTTGTCGATTTTTAATGAAGTAATTTCATTCGCAATAAAGCATATTTCGGTTAAATCCAATAGAAAATTTTCCACTCGTTTATCGTTTCATTCTGTTCGCGTTGTAGTTGAAATATTCGATTTCGGTTTCGCATCGTTGAATCCAATCAAATTATTTTATCAGACTGTGTGTATGATTGTCGTGATTCATTCTCATCCGCAAGGGATTTTCACTATTCCTCCTCTTTTTCGGTTCTATTGCTCGCTTTCATTCTTGCTCTTGCTTTAGCTTTCGCTTTTGCTTCAAGACAAAATCGTGTATTGTATTAATCTCGATGGTGGAATCAGTGGAAAACGGAGATCTGATTAAAATTATCGTTGTTTGTAATCGATGCATTCTTGATTACACTTGCATCGTTCGAATCATTTCACCAATTATACCGTTCAAATCGAGCGGTATTCTTCTTTCCACGTGTTCAACTCCGCCTTTTTGCCTGGTCACGGACTCCGATTTTGATACGTTTTTTTTTGGGTGAAAATTTTGTGAGATAAAATGAAATAGGACTCAACGTCAAACACAAATGCCCATCCATTTATATTTGAAAATGTTTTGCTATCTGTATAACAAAGGTCTTTAATCAGAACGATTCACATAAAAAATCGAATTAAATTGAACAACGGAGGGAAATTGAAAAATGGCAATGATAAAAAAAAAAACAATTTAAAAACGGCAAAAAAATGAAATGATAGCAAAAGGACAGAGAAAATCATAAAAAATGGGCCAATGGGCTTATACAATTACATTTGTTTTTCCAAACGAGGTAAACATTGCCCGTCGAAAAATTAATGAATGTTCCATCAAACGTAATATAAAAAACACTGCGCGGCAAAGTGTCAAATATCACACCATCAACAATTTGTCCATCAATCCCTGAAATGCGAGTCGCATTTGTTTGAATTCGATGAAAATTACGCCACAAGCGCCCGAAAATTCCCTCCTGCGTACCACAACAACTAAGCATACCATATTCAAATACACGAGAACATCCAATGATATCTGTGTTATTCAAGTAATTCGATTGTTTGCTGGCATTCGCTTTCCGAATTCCTCGTGACAAAATTAATTCCGTTCTCGAGAAGTCAGTCTCGACCAGGAAAAAAAAGGTGGAGAGAAATAATGATCACATTTTCATATGCATGAGAAAGCAATAAAATTTCTGGCGCTAGTTTTTGTCAGTCGACCGAATAGAGTCGACTCAATTGAAATATGAAATGACACACACAAAAAACGTGCAGTGAAAATGGCCCACAGTTAATTCCCAAACTATTGCTATTCAGAAGTAATGTGGAGAATTCGTTGTTCATTACAACGTCAAATAACAAAGCGCATTCGAAATGAAAACGGTGCGAATGAGAGAGAGAGAGAGAGAGCGAAAGGAAAAGCGCCGAGGAATAAAAAGAGCGAGCGCGCCCGTGGAAATGTAAGTACTTTTTATCACGCGTTGCCCATTGCCAGTCGAAAATGAAAATATGAGGATTTCCTACCCGACCAAAAAACAACAATCGGCTCGACTAAACCGAGAGAAAAAAACTTTACGACTCTTTCGCAAGGCATTAAAAATACGGTCGAAAATGATTTAGTCAATCGAATATAGAATGTATCGTTTCAGCTAACACGGGTCATTAAACATATCGAAAACACCAGAGAGAGAGAGAGAGAGAGAGAGAGAGAGAGAGAGAGAGAGAGAGA